GGTATTGGGAAGGGGCAGCTCTTCAGAAGGGAGCCAATTATGACATTGAAAAATGCTTTCAAATCATCATCCAGTGTTCAAATACTTACATGTTGAATTGAACAGTTTTCTCTGTTGCTGTTTTCAGGGAGCAGCTATCAAGATACATGGTCAAAAGAACTTGCTAGCTGGAGAAGCATTATCAGTGAACATGACAAAATGATGGAAAGGTGGAAAAAAACATGGGTAGGTGTTGGGACAGGGATGCATGGAGCCATTAGGAAAGGAATGGGGAATGTGTTGCTGGACTAGAACCCCCATCATCTTTCCGCACTGGCTATGTTAGCCAGGGCTGAATTGGAGCCCAATAGCATCCCAAGAGCCATGTCTCCTCCACACCCACGTTGTTGCTTTCTTTGGCCAGTTTTCTGGACAAAAGTTGGTTCATGTGAAATCAACCCTTGGCATTTTAGTTGCCTTGGCAACATTTTACAAAGTGTATGGCCCGTTGTTTGTTTGAAGCTTAAGTGGTATTTTCCTCTCCCCCGTTCCCACTTTTACTTACAGCTGCGTTCAGCTGTTTATCACATATCCGAGATATTCCAATTCCAAAATCTGATGGACTGTTGTTTACACCCCAATGGATACAGACCAATCAGCCACATATACTTTTGTTTATACACCACTCCTTCCTAATTATACAGTTTTGCTTTTCAAGCTCTTTGTCAAAAAACAGCAAATGCACTCCAAGTAGCCCTAAGAAAAGGCAGCGTCCTGCAGTAACTGTTCCACAGGTTTAGGGGAAAATGGGACATAGTTTTATTAGTCTATGGCATAGAGTCTTATTCTAACATCTCAGAGTGCACTGCACCTCACTCTACCTGCTTATGCATAGTGGGACAATTTTTTTCTTCAAATTTAGAGGATTCACTCTTTCTCATGAAATTTAAAAAAGGAAATTTAAAAGTGTTTAAAAACTTTCTGAAAAGTGCATTGTAAAACTGCTTTGCATATGACAGCAAGGAAAAATATGTCCAACTCAACCTTGTCTTTTCTGGAGAAACTGTAATAGAAATGCTGTCAGTTTTCATCAGTTACACTGAATTGGAATTCATTTGGAAAAATTGCTGCTACTTAATGTTGACAGTGCAGTTCAAGTCAAGGATAAACTCATGGTTATTTATAGGAAGTGAGATTTGTAGCAGGTAAGTTCATGAAGTCAACTTAATGTAGCGTATTAGCACAGCAGAATTAAAGCACATTTTCTGCTTCATCTTTTTCCAGGAGACTTGCAACAAGAAGGGCATAGTCTGAGTAGTAGGAAGCAGTGCTTGAGAAGGACTGGGAATTCTTTGACATCTTAATCATCACCTGTAAGAGACTTGTATGCAGCCATCATTCTGAGCACTCAGCTCAGAAGTTTCTGGTGAGACTGGCAGTTGAACACATTCCCCTCGCCGTTCTGATAAGACTCTAGCCGCCACTTTTCCAACTGGCTTGAAGGATGTACAAATGTGTTGCCATTGGACGTGCCTCAGTTTTCACCATCACAAGGAAAACAATTGCATTGCTAATGCACCAGATGTGCTTCAAGGCTGTGACCACTGACTTCAACCTCACACGTTCAAGAAACAAGCTGAGGAGTGCTGGACCTGTTATATCAGTTCATGGAACTGAGCCTCTGGGCTTCTTAAAATATTATACAGAATGTCTACTTCTCAGTTAGTGGTAGAAGCCTTCAACTCAAGCCCTCTTTGAGTTTGTACAGCACTCCTTGAAGCAAAGGCCTTTACACAAAGTATTTTCCTAAGCTTATTATGACCACAGCACAGACATTCAAAGATGGAAAGTGGCTGGCCCGCTAACTTCTTTTTGCAAGAAGAGTTCTGTATAAAATATATACAGACATGCAAACGAGCATATAATTCTTCAACTAATACAAATTTTATGTGTCAAAACATTTTTGAAGGTGTTATTTTAAATGTAAAGAGGCAGTGAGACTACGGAAGTTGCACAAATTCTCATTTTTCCTTTGCTAAATTGTTCTACCCAGTTTTCACTTTGGACTACTTTTTTAGTCCACACAAATATGCATTTTTACCACATACATACATTTTTTGCACTTTCCAAAATGTACGTATTTCAGGTATGAAATTTCAAGCATACACATTTTGTATCCTTTTTACTGAACTACAGTGCAAGTTGAGTATCATCTAACTGCATTCCAGTTCAGGTTCAAGCAGTGTCCTTTGCACCAGTCCTGCTAACCAGCTTCTGTATGCAAAGATGCAGTTGCACATTTCTTTCAAGAGCGTCCCATCCCTGCCAAAATAAGGGAAAATATTACATGTAACAGGTAGGGGTCCATGCGCTGCTTTATTGGTTTCGAGGCAAATCACTAAATGAATTCATGAACAAATTTCAGAAGTGAGTTTTTTGCTTTCCCATGTGATTACGATGATTTGATATTTCGCTGCCTTAATTCAAGGGAAATGGGGTCAGAAGCCACACAATTGTTATAGAACAGATGGCAGGCACACGACTCTCCCAGTGCTGTTTACTCTCAGCTCCTGCTGTAAAATGCTTCCAGGAATAATCATTTAGTGTGATGAGTATCATGAACTACCTGGAGAGCTCTGCCTATTGAGCAGCGTAAAAATGTAAAGTTAGCCAGACACACATGCCAGGACTGCACAATTCCCAGTGTGAGCTTCTGTGTTTCTTGTTTTCTCCTGTTAGAAATGATTGGCTGGGCATGTTGCTAGTGCAATAACAGGAACCACTTGATCACTCGCAGCTCCCCACTTCAAGGCTTATCCTATTAGACAAATGTTGCTTCCAATAGGATGAAACTGGGCTAGGGACAATTTTCCTTGTTACAAGAAAAAACTGCCCATGCTATTGCTGCTCACAAAGTCAATACCAACTAGAGTTCTAGGACCAGTGCTATTGTGTTACCTGCCACTATTAACCTTAATAAATTTCTGGAAAATTAAGACTAAGCATTTTGTATAGAATTGTCACATTAGGGGCACAGACTATTAAACAGCTGACACAATTTATTGTACCAGCATTTATTGAGCAACTGCATGTGCTTCTAAATTTCATAAAGGGCAAAGGAAGAGGGGGGCACTACAGCTAAATGCCATACCAGCAGCCTGAAAAGTATTATCACTGCATAGTGTAACTTTATAGCACTGCAATATGTTTCTTGGATGGAAGTCAAATGAATATTCATTCATTCTTATGTTAAAGAAAGAAACACCAAGTGAGCAAAAGGCCAAGCAACGGACCTGTTAAGTTCATGGCAATGGGAAATACTCCAGTGGAATGGTTGGAATGCTAGGTAAATATGAAAAGTTTCAGTCCTTATTAAAACAAGATGCAATGAAAGCAAAAGTACTTTTCTTTTTCTCTATAGTTAAAGGCCTGTAGCAGTACCAACAAAGCAGCTTCTAGTACTTCAGTGCAAAAACATGTTTTTTTTTAGAAACAGATTTTTGTTTCTTTTCCCTGAGCTATCAAATAATCCAAACTCAGTGAAGAAATAGGACGCTTTGGAAAAGTATAGTACAAAATGGCCAACAAGTAACTGACAGCAATCATCTAAGTCTCCCTGGCAAGGAGATGAACAAAACACATTTTGCAGTTGGGTGCCAAACTCCTACCCAGCAGTTGGTGCTCCTGGCTGAAATTAGACCTCCAGCGATGACAAAAGACTGATAGCTTAGACCAATTTTCACTCCCCACCACCATTCTAAGTTCACTTGGGGTCAGAAATGCTGTTATGCCAAAGTGGAACCTATTAATGTTCAGCGGTACAGGGACCTTCCATACTTCTTGTTTTAAATGGTGTCTTTCACAATGTTATGCGAATGCTCTTATGAAATGGACCCACACATTATCTCAATTCCTTTTGTGTTGCTGGACTTTTTCTGCAAGAGGAGACTTCTGCTGCAGAAATTACTTTGAACCTCTCTCTCTCTCTCTCTCTCTCTCTCTCTCTCTCTCTCTC